GAAATTCCACATGTTCTCACTCATTGGTGGGAGCTAAAAAAAAAAAAAAAAAAAAAAAAAAAAAAAAAAAAAAAAAAAATAATTCCCCCAAAAACACCCCACAACACAAACACCAACCACACCCCCCCCCCACAAAAAAAAAAAAAAAAAAAAAACGCCCGGGGGGGGGGGGGGAAGAAGATATAACAACTATACTTCCATGAAGTTGTTACAACAAGCAAACGGAAAGGACATTCGTGGGGGGGAGGGGAGAGAGGGAGGAGGGAGGGAGGTGTCGGTGACGGGCCATAATAATCATATACAGTGTATACTGACAAAATAAAAATAAATAAAAAAATAAATAAATATTATATAAAAAGGAAAAAAAAAAAAATCACAACCCCTGCCCAGGGCTACTTAGTCCCCTTTCCCTGCTTTATTTTCCTCCACAGCACTCATCACCTTCAAAATTACTCTATAATTTATTCACTTACAGCATTTTGTTACTGTTTGTGTCCCCTAGCTCCCAGCGCAAGAATATAAGCTTAATAAAGGTAGGGATTTTTTGTGTTGTTCCCGATAAATTCCCATCGACACATGCTAGAAGCTCAACAAATATTTGTCAAATGAATGAATGAATAAATGGGAAGGACACAAAATATAAACTTCAGAATTACTGAACTCCTCAGTCAGCAAATTCAAAAGCCCTTACAAACATCCTAAGGTTTAGAGTCCCCTCCGTTTACATTTTTCCTCAACTGAAAACTGCAGAATTCTAAAACTTACCACAGCATAGGAGAAGAGGAAAATAGTGTCCAGTGTTCCGAGGAAGAGAGTGGCTTCCTCTACGCTGGGGAACAAGTGGTTGCAGCTCCAGATCTACAGAAACAGCGAGAACAAGTTAATCCCTGCTGGCACCCATCAGCTCTTTCTACTTCTCAAAGGCCCTTCACAAACCACCTCCCATCCTCACAGAAACCTGGCGACGCTGAAAAGAGCGAACCCGTAAGCTGTAGGTGAGAAAACACGTGCACGGAAAGGTGAGTGACGTGTCCAAGATCACACAGTGCAGTGTGAGAAACTGCACACTTCCAAAAGACCAACTCTGACGTACTTCAAATGCATTTAGAGCGTTCTTTAACTCATACATTTATTTCTTTGAAATCAAAATGCTCAAATGCTAATGACTAAATCAATAAAGTGAGAAAGCTGGGCAGTAAGTATAAAAGCAGACATTTAGAAGAAATAAATTCTGATTATAACCTTTTCGTTAGGCAGAATTCAATATCCAATAAATTAGAAATTATGTCTACCTCCATCCAAGAGGAAACATACTCTAAAATACTCTTTAAAAACAATTTCCTACAGATCAGTGGTTGCCTGGGGCTGGGGGTAGCAGGAAGGGTTGACTACAAATGGACGCAGGAGAATTTTGGGGGTGGTGGATATGTTCTATATCTTGATTGTGGTAGTAGTAAAGGAGACTATGTGTGTGTGTCAAAACTTACAGAATCGTACACTAAAAAAAATTTATGTAATTTTATGCAAAAATCACATCTTAATTTTAAAAATGGGAAAACAGTACCTTTTCATCAACCTACTAAAATCAAATCACAATGTCTTGCTAACTTCATTATCATTCTGGTCTGATACTCAGAAAACTCATAATCCCAACACTAGTCCTAAATATTTGTTACTGGAGAGAAGTTCCTTAACCTAATACTTACCAACCTCTTCATCATCTGGCACACATAGAAAACAATCTTTTTACAACACACTGGGGTACACTGAAAAAGCTGTTCAAAGTCAGAGCTGACTGGCCTGTGGATACTGACAAGCCTAAAATCAGGAGGCCCTCCCAACGCCCACCTGGCAACTCCAAGGGCTTAGGGAAGGATCTCTCAACCCACCTACCATCTATTCAGAGCACACCAGCTGGGCAGCTCTCACAGAACCTCACCAGCCAGCCTGCTGATCTATGAAATGAAACAGTTAAGTCCTATCTGTAAAGTGCCATGTCTAGTATGTGATTCTTTAGGCAATGGTTATATTCTTTAGCTATGTTTAAATGAATCCAGTTTTTAAAATGTATTCCTTTTGGGCTGGCCCATGGCTTACTTGGGAGAGTGTGGTGCTGATAACACCAAGGCCACGGGTTCGGATCCCTATATAGGGATGGCCGGTTAGCTCACTTGGGAGAGCGTGGTGCTGACAACACCAAGTCAAGGGTTAAGATCCCCTTACCAATCATCTTTTGAAAAAAAAAAAAATTTTTTTTAATTCCTTTAGGATAAGGACCAAGTCTTAACACATATTTATATAGTGACTAACAGTGAAAAGGACTAATCATTATTTTGTAAAGATCTTTTTTGGATGAATTAAATAATGGCCATTCATTTCCATTTTAAAGAAAGATGACCACGGCATATGAAACCAGGCTGTGGGAGAAACCACTGAAGGAACAAGTGTAAATTTATGCTGAAAAAGAGAAGATACAGAGGATATATGAAAGTCATCCTCAATTTTATCAAGGGCCATCAGTGGAAAGATCTGAGTTAGTCTGTAGGACTTTCAAAAATGTAATGAGCTGCTTTACAGCACAGTGAATTTCTCCCACACTAGACATCCATGATAGAAATTGGAAGATAATTTCTCAAAAATATAGAAGGGATTCTTAAATAGGATGGGAGGTAGACTAGATCATAGTCCTCCAAATGTGGTCCGTGAAACACTGGGGGATGGGGAGGGTCCTCAAGAGCCTTTCAGGGGTCTGCCTTTCAGGGGTCTGCAAGGGCCAAACTATTTATGTCATATTAAAATGTGACTCGTCTTTTTCCTTTTAGTAACTTTTGCACTGATGGTGCAAAAGCAGTGGGAGGTAAAACTGCTATCCCTTAGCACGAATCCAGGCAGTCACATCAAACTGTTAGTAATCAATGTATTCTTTACACTCATAGAAAAATGCTAAAAAAAAATTTTTTAAAGCCAATTTCACTTAAAAAGTGTCCTTGATGAAGCAGTAAAAATTATTAATTTTATCAACCCCGGCCCCTGAGTACACTTATTTTTCATATTCTGTGTGACAGAGTGGAAAGCATGCATAAAACACTTCTGCACCGCAAAGGGGCATGATTGTCCTGAAGGAAAGCACTGTGTGACTGCGCGAGTCGCAAGCTGGAATGCATTCGTACTTGAAAGAACAACTGACAGGCCACAGTTATTCAGAGTTGGGTACGCGGCAGATAGTTCCTCAAAAATGAATAAAATGAGCCTGTTACTTCAAAGATTCATTCAAAGTACAAGATAGACAAATGGACCTTAATGTAAGGGTATTATTCATAAGTTCACCGATACAGTTTCCGTTCCACAACTACAACTAAACTTTTAGGAACTGTCACTTGTCAAATTTTGGTGTAGACAAATATCCACCAAAGATAAATGTCCACAATTAACTGAAAATGCTATGAAAACACTCTTCCCTCTTCTAACTTCATATCTGTGAAAGGCCAAATTTTCTTCATATACTTCACAGGCTCTTTGAACAGACTTTGCAACAGACTGAATTCAGAAGCTGATGTGAAAATCCACTTCTATTATGAAAGACATGAAGAGATACGCAAAATGTAAAGCAATGCCACTCTTCTATTTATGCTTTTTGTTTTGAAAAAGTCATTTTTCTTTTTTTTTTTTTTTTAAAAAGATGATCGGTAAGGGGATCTTAACCCTTGACTTGGTGGTGTCAGCACCGCGCTCAGCCAGCGAGCGAACCGGCCACCCCTACGTGGGATCCGAACCCGGGGCCTTGGTGTTATCAGCACCGCACTCTCCCGAGTGAGCCACGGGCCGGCCCGAAAAAGTCATTTTTCAAAAAATGTTATTTATGTTAATTCATTAACAAATAACTCCCCCGAAACAATGTATTTTTTAAATTCTCAGTTTTAATTTCTAATCTAAGAAAGAGAAAAATCACAATCAGCAAATAAAGGGCCGGCCCGTGGCTCACTTGGGAGAGTGTGGTGCTGATAACACCAAGGCCACGGGTTCGGATCCCATATAGGGATGGCTGGTTAGCTCACTGGCTGAGCGTGGTGCTGACAACACCAAGTCAAGGGTTAAGATCCCCTTACCGGTCATCTTTAAAAAAAAAAAAAAGACAATCAGCAAATAAAAAAACATACCTTTAACAAAGTAAAATCCCCAAATTATAAGCAAATACATATAGTCATTCATCACTTAATGAAGGGGACACGTTCTGAGAAATGCATCCTTATGTGATTTCATTGTACGAACATCACAGAGTGTGCTTACACAAACCTAAATGGTACAGCCTACTCTGCATCTAATCTGTATGGTATAGCTATCATAATCTTATGGGACTACTGTCTTATATATGGACTATCATTGACGGAAATGTCGTTATGCGGCATGTGACTGTAAAGTGTGATTCTAAAGCACTGGGGTCACTTCTGGGTGGCTTACAGAATCAGCCTTGTCATTTTACTACCACCTCACATACCGCTGTCACCATCAATGAGAAAGCAGAGTGCACACACATGGCATAAGATTCAGCATGCCTAAACAGCAACCTAAATATCTTCTATTAGAGTTACTTTGCCACGTTACCTCTAACTGCAATCTTTCATCCCTGTGTCCCTTCCAGGCCCATGCAAACCCATACTTAAGCCCTGTTGGGAACAAACATCAATGTGAACTGGAGAAAGAAACTTTAAGCAGGTGCTTGAAGTTTTAGGATTTTTTTTCTTTACTCCTCAGAGAAGTCACCAAAACTCTCTGTAGGTGTGGCTGTCACAAGAATTGATGGATTTTTTTTTTTTTTTTGTCTTTTTCCGTGTCCGGCAACGGATTGCAACCCTCAGTGTCGCCCCCGCACCGGACCGGGACCGGCAACGGGACCACAACCCTCGGTGTTGCTCCCGTGCCTCGCTCAGCCAGTGAGCGGGAGCCGGTCTGTATGTGGGATCCGAACCCTCGGGCAGGAGCGCCGCCGCGCTTCCCAAGCGGCACACTATCCAGTGCGCCACCGGGCCGGCCCAGAATTGATGGATTTTAAACAGCTTTTTTCTGCCTCACTGTCAGAATTCAGCTGAAATACACTTCTGCCTGCCTCCTTAACAAGTGGAAAACAAAACCAAACCAAACACTAAAAAAAACAAAGTAGAACTAACAAAAAGTTTCAGAAAATAGAATAGAAAAAAGCCTAGAGAAGAAAGTTTACTTCAGTAATAAAGCTCAGATCAGAATAACTATAATAGTAGGTTAGAAATGTCCTAAGTATACATAGTGAATCATCCACTGTTTATGAAAGTCACCAACGCAATTAACTTAACACACTAAAATCTTACATGCTGTGTGATTCAACCTGGCCACAGGGTGTGAATCATTACGATGGGAATGTATGAGCCTGTGTGTACTGTAGGGTTTCCCTGTGTTGTGTTAGGGGACTATACTAAGCCCCTACACTTGCTAGGTGTTGAGGCACTTCCTGTGCACATACTAAAGGTCACAGTGTGGGTTTCCTACACAAGAAATGTTTATAACAGAACAAGGGCTGGGCATGGGGTGGGGGAGGCCTGCTGACACGGAGAACTTCCTGAGCGGGGTGAGTGGGGGATGAGTTCAAGGCAGATCTGTGTTCAGGGCTGTTCTTTGCAGAAGATGAGTGGACAGGTTTACATGCGAAATCTACCAAGTAAGAGTTCAAGACACCTTAAATCCTGCTTCCTTCTCCCGAAGACAAGTTTAGATTCTCTTGTACTCTCATGGAAGAGCTGTACAAATTTTTATTATCCTTTTCAGCCAAGTTGTTCTCAAATATTAGATCTAACCATTACCTCTTGATTACCTATAAAGAGTTTATGTTCTTATGTTCACTTACTATTTCCAATGTTTGTGAAGAGTTACAGACAGTGACAGACCCAAAGCACAGGATAAGTGGCAGGTACATACCACCCTAACCACTCCACTTCCAGCAGCAGGCCTTGGGAAGAAAAAAACTTGGATTTAAAATATAAAGAAAGGAATGGAAAGCCAGCTCAGCTTTTCATGAGGGAAGGTATACAAAGAGATACAAAGATCTTCAGGGTGAATCAGAACTTTACCTCTCCATAACCAATCTACCCAGACTACTTCATCTGTAGTTCTGAAAAACCAGAATGGTGAAAACTATTTTGGCAGCAATTAGAGTTAAGTAAATAAATAAATACCTAAGCAGAAAAGTACATGCGTGTTCAATAAGAGCTAATAATGTGAGGTGCTTAATGGTAGAAAAGAGTAAACAAGGCCAGCCTGAGACTGCCCTCCTTAGAAAGACCTGCTTGCAAGGCTGGCCCCGGAGGGCACCTAGGAATTTGGATTTCAGAAAGGTTTCCACCATTCCCTGATAAGAGTGGCTCACTGTGCTTAAACTGATTGAACACACAATGTGGTTTATGCTAAATCCCTACTTTCCTTCTGGGAGCCTGGAATTTCGGTATGTGCCAGACAAGAGGGTGCCTATGTGACCAGCCCCTGTAAAAACGCTGGGCACTGAGTCTCTAATGAGCTTCCCTGGGAGGCAATATCTCACATGTGTAATCACAGCTTGCTGCTGGAAGAATTAAGCACACCTTCTGTGACTCCACTAGGAGAGGACTCATGGAATCTTGTGCCTGGTTTCCTCCAGACTTCACACACCATGTGCCTTTTCCCTTTGCTAATTTCATTTTGTACCCTTTCACTGTAATGAACCATAGCCGTGAGTACTATATGCTGAGTCCTGTTGAGTCCTTTTAGTGAATCATCAAACCTGGGGTTGGTCTTGGGGAACCCTCCTAAAAAACAAAAGCAGCTTTAGGCAGTATAACCAGAAATGTGGTGCCTAAATCAAATCCTGTTTTTCTGCATACTGGTCAGAAAGTACCTGAAATACCACATGTAGTGCTCATTGTCACTACAGTGTAAACTACAGCTGAAGGAGCCAAGGATGTTTTGCCTAAACAAGAAAAACTTAGGGAGACAGGTAAGAGTTTTTTTCTTCAAAGAGCTGAATAAAAATGTAGTTGCCCACCTCAGAAAACAGTGAGTGTCTTCTCCCTAGAATTATTAAAGCAAGGGCCAGCCTCTGGCTCACTTGGGGGAGCGTGGTGCTGACAACACCAAGGCCATGGGTTAAGATCCCCTTACCAGTCATCTTTAAAAAAAAAATAAAGAATTATTAAAGCAAGGGCCAGCCTCTGGCTCACTTGGGGGAGCGTGGTGCTGACAACACCAAGGCCATGGGTTAAGATCCCCTTACCAGTCATCTTTAAAAAAAAAATAAAGAATTATTAAAGCAGAAGGTGGGTGGTTAACTTTCAGTAATGACAAAGAAAGATCCTACACTGACTAGGAGATTAGCGTACATGATCTCTCTAAGGCCATTTCCACCTTTAAGGTTTGGGATTATAAATAAACAGTTAAATGACTGGTCATCTAGACTCAGTCTGAAATCTAGCCCTCTATTCTCAGCATCTTTCCTTTTAAAAGTTCCTGATAACTTAAATTCCAGAAAAATTGTACAGGAGCATCTCCACTAGAATGAAAGCTCCGTAAGCAGAGGCTCTTTTTAAAAATTTTCTAGGCTTTTATTTCTCTGTATCCTCAGTGCCTAGAACAGTGTTTATGTAAGACAGACACTCAATAAGTAATAGACTGAATAACTTATTTACATTTGGGGGGGATATTCATATAACCTTCATACCTCTGTCAACTTTGAATTCGCCCAAATAGGGGACATAATTTTTATGAAATAAAACAGCTAAGAATATTAGTAAGATATCTATAATTTCACATAAGTAGAACTCAAGAAATGTGGTAAAGATTGAGTGGGGTGGATTTGAGCATTGAGAAAGAGCGTTGTAAAGGACAGCATCCCTGTCACAAAGAGTCACCAAAGAATTTACTCGGTCCATGATGAATATAAGGAACCAGGATACATACTCCCTGACTTCAAAGTGTTTACACAAGATACAAATAAAACTACTAGAAAATATTTAAATACTGAGACTTTTTCTTTTGCGGGGGGGGGGGGGGGGGGGGG